GGTGGTGGGGGGGGGGGGTGGTGGGTGGGGGGGGGGGGGGGGGGGTGGTGGGGTGGGGGGGGGGGGGGGGGGGGGGGGGGGGGGGGTGGGTTGGGGGGGGGGGGGGGGGGGGGGGGGGGGGGGGGGGGGGGGGGGGGGGTGGAGAAAATGTTGTTATTGTTCCGCATTAATCTTCAAAAGCTAGTGATTGTTATCGTTGAAATCATCATGAACATTTGAGAAAGGGGCAGTTTGTTCTTAAAGAACTGCAGTATGTATGATCACGTGGTCTTCGTGTCGTCAATAATCGGTTACTGTCGTCAGATAATTAGATACTACGTTTATCTTTTGGATCGAAAACATTAAGTCAATAAATAATAAGCAGAATGTAAAATTCTTGGAGGAAATCACCATGGTCTTTGTTTCGATAGAACACGATATTCTGTTGGAGAGAAGAAGCAAAGAAACTTCGACGCATTATCAAAGTCAGCTAAGAGATTTATGAGAAACGTATCACGCAAATCCAAATTAGATGGAGTGTTTCTTTTGATCACCAAAAGAAATTGAATGTATCATGTCGAGGATGTTTCAGGTGGTGCGTTATCGCATACTCCGAAGAGGAAACCTTATTTTCGGAATTACTGATTGGTGCAAAAAGACAATCTAAGGGTATTAGGGCTTTTATTTGTCAATTTCTTGGAAATTGATTGCTAGAACTAGTGAAAAACAAGCGTAAGTAAGATAATCTACTAAGGGCTATAGTAACGAAGTCCAAGATGGATTTGCTATTATTGCTAAAGGTTACAAGGTACCATTCAAATAATAAGTATAGAGACTAAACATTTGATTATTGTCAAAGAAATCAATCAAATAAGACAAATAACGACGTTGTTGCTGATGCTATCAAAAAGTCGAGTTCAAATTCTGTTTGGAGATCAATGATTTTATAAGGCTCTGCTTGTCAACTCGCACTCTACTGGAGATCCTGGATCTCGTATCCAGCTACTTTAATGTCAAGCTTAACGCAGATTGGTCAATTTTAATTAGATGATAACTAGAAATTCAATATTGGCAAAGTAATGTATAAAGAGGTTGAAGATATAATGCAAATAACACGTGAACTGGTGATTCATTAGTAATGATAGTGAATGATTTCAGGACCCGATGTTTTGAGTAGGATGAATAAGCGTTGAATCAATGGAAAAGTAACAACATTGGAATGATTCATGATTGGTTTTGAATGAATCTCGTGAACTTGAATGGCGTCAATATTGAGGTAACACGTCTTAATGTAGAGAATCATAACAATCGATTGCTTTCACGATAGAAATTCTAAAGCTAATATTTCGTTTCATTCTTACTGTTATTGTTGAGAACGTTTTGAGTGATACATAAAAGGAAGACAGACGACAAAGATAATAGATTCTATTCTAGATTTGTATTTATACATTATATTTATTAGAATTCTTTGACATGTATACATTCTCTTTATTATATCTATAGCAACCAAAAAGTATTTGTTTGAAAATAATAATATTAAATAACTAAACAAATAAATTCCAAAATTAGAAAATAAATTCCAAAATAAAAGAAAAGTCCGATACCCCCATTAAACACGCGTGTGTGCACTATATTAAACAAAGAAAATACTTTTTACTTGATCTTTTTCAATGTGTGGGTGGTGCTCACGATACGTTGGTCCAATCCTTCGGTCTTTGAACCAATACGATCTAAAACCTCGTTTTGTCGTCTTACTTCTTCGCCTGAAGCAACAGCCTATAGTAGAACAAAAATAATGATATTCAATATATAATTATATACGCGTAAAGATAAACTACCGGATAGGAAGACGTTAAACATACCATAGCATTCAATCGACTCAATCCAGCAGAAAGTGAATCCAAATTATTATCCAATTGATTTTCCAATTGTTCATCTTCGTCGTCAGCTTCGAATTGGAATTTCGATCGATCTGACGAATTGCCTGGTCGATAGCCACTTGATTTCGAAGAAGGTTGCTGCTTTATTGCGCTGTTAATTCGGTTCTGTGATTCCCAGTTTCCGCTACGTAACTGTTCACGACTTTCTCGCTGTTCTTCTTGCATCGCTTGAACACGTTCGAGTTCTTTTTTTTCACGTCTACCCTTGGTGAATGGATTACCAACATCGAAACCAAACATTGAACCATTGACCTATTTATCAAATGTAGGCTAAATTTAGTTTTTTCAATTAATTAATCGGACCATAGAAAAAAAGAACGGACCTTTTTCAATTTTGCTGCTTGTGCTTCTGCGCGCTCAGCATGAGCCTCGGCGAGATCAAGTTGACGTTCGGTGTAATTGATACGCTCTATAATAAAAAATTGTATTCGATTATATATACAGTATCATCATCAATTTTACATGATAGTTAAAGGCATGAAAACTCACGAGTTTGTTCTCCGAGCTTATTTAAGGTACTCTGAGCATTTTGCTCAGCTTGTTGAATCATCTGTAAAGACTTTTGAGTAGAAGCCACCGAGTCTTGTTTAGTGGTGCGAATCTGGCTTTTGATGCCTTCAATGTCTTCTTCTGTTTCTTCCTGTTGTTGTTGTTGTTGACCATAACCTCCGCCGTAACCACCGCCGTAACCACCACCGTAACCACCACCTTGTTGCTGTCCATACCCACCACCATAGTATCCACCTCCTTGTTGGGGGGTTTGGTTGTAATTTTGTGGTGGTGGAGGATAATTTTGGTTAGAACCAGCAAATAACTCGTTACGAGCCGCCGCTCCTTGATCTTGTTTTCCCTGTTGACGGTAGCGTCTATAATCGTCCATCTCTTGTTAATTTACTTTTTATTAAATATGCTGTATGAACTTCAGATGAGCGTCTTTATATAAAAAACGCAAGGAATGGGATACAAATTATTTCTGCGTAAGGCTTATCATTATGCATTATTTTTCCTAAAAATAACCATAATTGAGAGATAGCCGAATATTTATTGCAGTACTAATGCGTACACCTGAGATACCTGAGATACGCATTCGTAATTTTATATAAAATGAAATAAATACATATATTATATTATATTAAGTCTGATAAACCACATTTTTAGTTAACTAAATAACTAACTATCCAAATCTCTCATTCCATCCACCGAACTCGCGTAGGCACGTTGTTGCATTGGAGTGAATCTAGACGGAGTATTACGTCCACTAGCATCACTATAATTACTAATAACACTCGCTGGTCTCGATTGTCTCAATTGTCTCTCCTCCTCTATTCGCTGTTGTAACGCGCGTAAATGCAATTGAGATGAACTTGCGGCAGCAAGACGTTCATAAAGATCTTCTGGAAGTTTTCCGCCATTTCTCGCTCTTAAATTCGCTAATGCTGCAGCCCTCCTTTTAGCTTTGACTTGTCGTCTCAATTGTTCTTGTTCGAAGTATGACATGTATTGATCGTTTACTCCTCTCCCGTATCTATATTCACCTTCTCCAGTTAATTGTGACTGTTCTTGTCTGGTCATACCGTTGCGAACTGACGCTGTTTTCGATGACCTTTCCGACGAGGAATCAGTCAAAACTCCTACAATTATTTCAGAAAAACACCCGGCAGTTCCTCCAATAAAGAATCCAAATGCAGCCGCAAAGAAACAAAATAAGTAGATGGGATAGAATAGAGAAATTATATATCTAATAATGGTAAAAGGTTTCCAGATAAAGATCGTGTACAATAAATTAAGTAGTATTATCACCGGAGTCAGAATCCAATGAAGGAGTGTGAAGAGACCAATAACAATTTTGTAGAGTAACGAAATTACAAGTTTAATTGGGTCAAGGAGATTCGTTTCTGAAGAAGCCGTATCCAATGATGGATTACCATTAGTAGACTTATTGTGGTCGGAAGAAACAGGATGATTGTCGTAGTTGTTATTATTATTTGATACTGAAACAGTTTCTGTATGGGTCTCGCGTACAGTCACTGTTGTAGTTTGATATTTAATCGAGACGTTCGGATCAGAATCTTCATTGTTTTCTCTTTTTGAAGGTGAATTCTCTAAATCAAAACGAGCCTTGATCACTTCTTTTTCTGTAGACAACGATTGCCCTTCCCCGAAAACTCCTCCTATTAACAACAGGGAACAAATGGTGATTACCAGCGTCACCGATAATATTGACCTTCGATTGCTCTTTCTTGACGCTAACAGGCAACTCTCAAACATGTTTGACTTTCCTAATGCAGAGTGAAGTTAAGCTTTCGTGGAAGACTCTTCTTTTCGATTGATAAAAGAAGGGATGGAGTGAGTTTATGTTTTCATTTTTTATATGTAAAAAAAAAGGATTGTATAGCATTAATATGATGATATCGAGGATTATTTCTCACGTTATGTCATTTCTTGCTGGCATGTGAAAAAGAATTCTTTGTGTTACAATTTGCTATTTATGAAACGTATTATTTTCAATGAATGAAAAGAATGCTTGCCCAAGTAAAAGTAACATTGATCTGGCATTGTAATTTTATTATTAAAAAGGGAGTTCTAGAATATAAAGTTGGATCATATAATAAATAGCACACAACGCCAAAGAAAGGAATTTCCCTTGCTTTTCATTGTTTCTCTTGTATATTGAATGGTTCAAATTCCTTGTAACAAAAATTAAAAAATAGTAATAGAAAAATAGTTTTTGTGATCTCGTGATGATTTAATATTATTCTAAATTGCCGTATAAAGAAATTAATAATAATAATAATTTTCCTTCTCTTGTTGTAAATGGCGATGGTGGTGATGATTGATGATGGAGGGGATGTTGATGATATCTGCTGCTTCTCGACACGCACACACACACACACACAAATTCCCAAACTCACACATATACACACATATACATGCTAAACCAAAAAGACTAAGCCACATAAGAAAACATGTCTTTCTGCCCATCAACACGCTCTATATACTCTTTTTCCAATAAGACGTCAATGCATTTTTTGATATCTGGAACCTTTGGCTTGAATCTGTTGGACAACTGTGATATAACTTCTTGTACCAATGTCACATGTTTCAAAGTCTTGCGCGTCTTCATGATACGGACAATAGCAGCCTACGGGAGAAGAAACATAAATTTATCAAAACATTCACTTTATGGAGGTTGACTAAAAAATTTACAAACCTGCATGAGCAATTTTCTGTCTTCCTCGACAGTCTTATGAGTCTCCTCTACTTCAACTTTCTGTTCCGATTTAACCGGGACATTCAGTAACACACGGACTTTTTTGCTATATAATATAATTGAAGTACAGATTAATACCAATCTTTTACGCACATGATAACTAAAAATGTTTACCTCTTGAAATCCATGTTAAGTGTGTATCGTGAACCTGTATCGCCAACATTATCACCTTCCATTAGTAATACTTTAGCCTTCACTAAAGTACCAAGTTGTCCAATCAGCACATCAGGAGTCAAGTCGGTACTTTGACTTAGATACTCAAATGTGTATGATGTGTCTTTGTTGTATTGTAAGAGGATACCCATTTGATATGTGGATACCTTAATTTTTTTCAGTATACATTTGTTGATTAATTGAACGAAGGTTTGAATGAATGACCGAGTAAATGCAGACGGAAAAAAAAAACTTACCTGAAATGTGTAACCTGCTTTTGAGGCTTTTAAGTAATTCGTTTTCAGTTCACCTTTCGATAAGTGGAATAACCAATTTAACTTTCGACCAGAATGTTTATTTTGATAAAACATTTTGAATCGCTGAAATGTCTTTTCTACCTATTTTATCAAATAGTATCACTGTTAGTAAAAATGCTTATAATAGAGAACAAGTAAAATATTATACAAACTTCTTCGGGAATGATAAAGTTTGTGGTCGATGGTTGAAGAGGCCAAGATGCGGTACCCAAAACGAGGACTGAGAAGTCGACTAATTATTATTATTGATAATAAGGATCATGTTTAGTAAGAGAAAAAATTTTCACTCGCAGCAAAAAAAATGTTAATTTATATAACAAACGATTGCTTATATAGAATATTTACCGTGCGACTGCTCATTGTCACGATCTCTGAAATTGTCATTAAGATCTTTGCTTAATCCCATATCAGTAAACATACGTTGTAATTTCGACGTATATTCGAAACCACAAGCTTCCTATGAAAATTATTTTAAGGAAAAAATATAAATTTTCCCTAAAGACATTTTTAATGTCGATGAAAATAATCTAAAAACCTTTAATTTCGAAATCATGCTTGACTCTGCGTCTTCCGATGCCGATGTACCATTCACCAAACGTTTAGCCAACATTTTAGAATAAAATTTCTGAAACACATCTTTATCCTCGACATATTTAAACACGGTCATCTATTTTTTTTTTTTGACAAACAGAAATTAATAAACATTGTTGTACATGGAAATCAATTTAAAGAATGATTACATACGATGCTATTTAGAACATCTTCCAGGTCGCCTTCTTCTGGATTTTTCGCACTTTTTCGTAGTAATGAGTCGCAAAAACGTGCAAGCAATTCCGGAGATTTTGAAGTCGACGATTTACATACTTCATTTCGATTGACAAATTCACGACATGCCTATAATTAATTGCATTCATCATGTATTATATAATATGACCGAAATATAGTAGAATAGAATTATCATCAAAATTTACAAACCTTATCTAATGAAGCGACGAAACCGGCTTCTCCTCGGAACGCATTCTGCACCATATCATTATATTTCTTGTGCACTTCCAAAAGTGCATCTACATATGTTTTAGGTTCCTAATAAATAATAATAAACTTCGATAAAATTGTAAGCAGTCACAATAATAGTAATAATGATAAAATCATACCATGTTAGCATCAGCACCTTCTGCAGCGATCTTTTCGATTGAGCTATGACCCGCTTTTCGTACGTGTTCTTCAAATCGTTCTCGAAGTGGATTCAATCCATCCGGAATTCGAGATAGAAGCAAGTACATGCGATGTAAATCTTTTTTATGATAATACGTAATAAATGATTAATACATCCAATTTATGGATATACAACCGAACCATAAAAAGCAGTAAAAACAAACCCTCTAACTTGTCCATATTCAATAAATGCTGAAACTCTTCCCACATAATATCTGTATGATCTTTCACCAAAACAGTTTCACATGTCGTAATCAACTATCAATTTAATTAAAACATCTCGAGTTAATTTTAACTATGTAATTATGTCTTAAAATACCTCAAATAAACTTACGTTTTTGTATGTACTCGGATGAAGATAGGCTTGCACACGACCCTCTTCTTCAATTAATCGCGCTTCAGCCTATAAATGAATTTTGATTAATCATATTACAATGAAATCCAATTATACTGTAATGAATAAAAAAAGCAAACCTTTTTCATATATTCTGTCACACTATTTTCACTAACAAATTTTTCGGATTCGGTTTTATAGTAGTTTTGTGTGGCTTCAACAAACGGTTTCTCAAAGTGATCTCGATAGACATCCAGCGTGGATTTACTAGAATCCGCGTCATCGAGACCAAGTGAAACTAGACAATAATAACAGCGATGATAACACGAAGAGAGAATGGTTGTCATTAAATTAATAAAATGCATAACCACAAATGATATTTTTGATACTATACAGTAATAAATTATTACCAAATGACTCGACAACAAGTTTTATAAGACCTGTTTCGACAGTCTCCCCATTTCTTTGACGTTGAATGAGCATCTTTACAGCATCCATCACATTATGTTGTACAGATGAGAACATATTATCTCGCCAGCTAACCAATGTGAGCTATTTCATTTGTAGAAATGTGAACAAGAAAATAAAGCACCGTCAGCATCTTGGAGAATGTGACCGCTCGTTAAACGAATACGAATAGAAAACTAACTGTGTAGACATCATATACTGTTTTGCGTCCTTCATCGATTTCCCTTTTTACCCAATGACGATTGAGATAACGGAAAACGTGGTGAACATATGAAGATGCAGTGGTATACTTTTCCCATTGTTTAGTATAGTAGCGTAATAGATTCTCATCCATGTACTGTTCTGATTCCTATTTATATTTAGTATTTAATATTTAATAATTACAGATAAATATATGCATAAACAAATAGAAAAACATAATGAATTACCGCACGAATCTGCGTTAGATGCCTTTCAAGGTAACTTATGAGACGCGCATAAAGATCACTTCCCATTAAATTCGCACCTAGAAAAAGATTTTATCACAAAAGAAATTCTAAAAAATTCGAAAGAAATGTACCAGATAATCTTTCACGAATTAACGATTAAGGGTTTGCATTAAATTACCTCTATTATTGTTGATGTTTGATCCTGGTCCAGCGAGTGGTTCCGAGGCAAACCCCGGATTCATGCGACTACTCGTACAGTAATTGTAGATGCCACTGTGTCATAATCATTGGTGTGAGGTGAAAGAGTCAAGGATAAATAAATTGTGTGTATGTGTGTGAAATTTTTTGTTACGATCATGAGAATTAACGACAATTAACATTATTGTCGTTATTGTGTGTTTCTTTTGTCTCACAGAGGTACCGATAAAAAAGAACAGGTAAAACGACCTCGTAAAATTATAAAAAAATTGAGTTGAATTACTCCCAAAGATCAAAAAGCAAAAAATAGCAAAAAAACACAAGGGTTTTTTCTACATTATATCAAGTTAAAAAAGGATACGTATAGAGATCCATATATCGTTTATAGCTAAGCCCTTGCTCAAGCCTGTTCATAATCTGGTCGATGCCACTTTCAAGGAAACTCCAAGTGGCTTCCAAGTCATTTGGAGGCGGAAGTGTCGTTAAGTTCGAAGCCATTTTTTTTCTCTTTGAGACAGACAGACAGAAACGACAACGACAGCCTTTCCAATAATTTACTAATTAATGATTATTTAAGTGGCAAAGGTCTAAAAAAGTGACAACAAAAAACAAGGTGGTTCTTTTGTTAACTGGTTGAAAATTTCCGTCTATTAAAATTCTACAACTACCAATACAAAATGCACATTATGGTGATGATGATGACGTTTCAGTGTTTATTACCGTTGTTGGTAATCTACCCATTAATTCCGAAACTCCGTAATGAATTTGGCTATTTAATGAGGAAACTGCGGACCTGCGGCTATAAAGTTTTTTCAATGAAACTAAGACAATGAATTTCTTAATTTTATTTAACTTAGGTCAATCTCACACACTCGACATGGAAATTAAAAGATTTACAAACCACAAGAATATACAGAAGAGGGAAAAGACTCAACACTACTATATCAAAATTCGTAACCAACTAATAAACAACTATTAAAAATCAAAAGTCAATGATTACATCAAACATTTATCAATTCTTCTTTCGCCGCTTATTATGCCCCATTGCATGATCCACCGAAGGCGATGTGTCCGGTGGATCTGGCAATGGAAGTGGTCGTGTGTGTAGAATAGTTGGGTTCTTATTATTATTATTATTATTACTACTACTACTATGATTATTACTATGATTATTATTATTATTATTATTATTATTATTATTATTATTATTATTATTATTATTATTACCCATTAGATTGTCCGTTGTGCTACTGTTAAAAGGAGAAGACGGCGTTGATCTTTGTGGGGATAATTGAGATTGTTGTTGCTCATTACTACTATTATTATTGCCATTGTTATTGTCATTTGACGGATTTAAAAGACTACTTTCTGTTCCAAATCCTAAAGATGAAGATCCAGATTGCGAATGTTGCCGGTGATGATTATTATTACTACTACTTGAATGATGACTAGAACGATGCTGATGATGGTTGTGATGATGATTATGATGCTGCTGCTGCTGCGAATATTGTTTTGGTGATGATGATGTTGATGAGGATGATGACGTAGACTGACTTGATGAGGCTGGTGTTGCTGTTGCTGCTGCTGCTGTAGTCCTAAAAGGTCCTGATGATCTTCCACCACCGCCACTTCGTGATCCTCCATTATTACCTAGAACCGTGCCACCGCCATTTTGTCCTCCTGATTCAGGTGAAGGATGTACCCGCAAATAGTTGGTGTTGTTATGCGAGTAGTATGGAGGAAATCCAAATTCAGGCAATATGGCCAGTGGACTCGTAGAAGACTGTATTTTTGAAGATCTATGTTGTGAAGTCGCGGGAGCACTCGATGATTGACGATAATCGGGATCGGTGGCGTGGTTATAATGATGATGATGCAAGTTACTACTGTTGCCAGTATTTTCAATTCCAATCATTGGCGTTACATGCGATCCAGGATGATGTATATTATGTTCTCGATTACCACTAACACCACTACTATATTGCATTGGAGGATGCTGTGAATGAGGAGATGTCAAAATAGTCTCATTCTGTCCCAGTTTCGCCACTTCAGCTTGCAATAAATCAACTATTGCAAAACAAAAAAAATTAGACATGCTCAACATGAAAAACAAAAACTCTTGCCAAATATCACCACTATAATCGTTATTTACCGTCAAATTTTCGTTTTCTCAGAATCCTTGGATCAGATTCTTAATGATAGAATTACTGTGAGTGTCATGATTTATTTGAATAATCATTTTCGACGACAAATCTTCTTGATGTCGTTGGGATAAAAAGAAATTACTTACCGTCACGACAAATTGATGCTAAAAGATTGGTCATGTTTGCAATTACCTAGTATAGATTTCAAAAGAAATCAGGATTAAAAAATCAAATCGAGTAAAAACAAACGCGTAACGCACGAACCTGTGTATGCTTAGCTTGCAACATTTTGCAAGAAACGGTCTCCGTGACCAAAAGACTATAACTCTCGTTTATCCGTCTCATATTTTCCATCATCTCGGCCATCTGGGTTGACAATCGATCAATTCGATCATCGTGTATCATATCAGCCAGGTTAGTACCTTCAGTCGGACTAAGACTAGATGCAGATCCAGACATACCACCACCAACACTGCCACCTCCACCTTTAATCATTATCTGATTTGTTTGCGTCTGTTGTTTCGCGCTTTTCCGTTTAATGTTTTGTAAAGCGGCTAATTGACCTCGTCGAAATTCCGGGTGTTTGAATTCCCAGGCTTGACTTTCACTTGATGGGTTCGCGTGAAACATGTCATTGACTAAATTGATTAAGAAACAATTGATCATCAAAGAATGATTACAGAGAGAGAGAGAGAGAACAAATTTATAAGTACATGCTATGCGGATTAATCATATAATAAAAAAACAAAATAATCAAGATGAAGATTTATATCTCACGCGTTCGACTGGCCCGAATAAAGTTACCTTTATGGAAACCGTACACTATGAAATTTTCCAAAACAAAAATCATCAATTAATTAATTTTATTACGTAATTACTCGAACTTATTGTCCAAAGTGGACAATGATTAACGATTGGCAAATTGATCATTATACTTACTGTTTAATTGTCTGACAAAACTTTGCCAGTTATTGTGTTTGAAATATTGAGGTAACACGGTTTTGGAAAATTCCGTCGGATTTGATACACTGAACACGTCACCGGAGGGTGCCCATGATATTAAATGTTGAATCGACTGATCTTCCACCATTCTATTATAGGTTAATTAGAATTATTATCAGTATATTATATCTAAATGTATGTATGCATTGCATGCAAGTAAGCATGAAGATCGTCAAAAACGGGTGTATGTGTATTTGATAATTTCAAAAAAAAGAGAAAACAACTTACGTATATAGTTTATTAACAAATGCGGCCTGTGTTTTGTGATTCGACGACATATTCGGATTCAGAGAAATATTCGCCAGTGTCGAGGTAGTGGGTGAAACACTTGTAGGGGATGAAGTCGTTACCGTTATGGTTTGATCCTTTTTAATATTCTCACTACGATTATCGTTTACATTAGGGGTGGGAGAACTTGAGGAAATTGTGGTAATGGTGGTGTTGTCATTTTTTGACGAAATGTGGAAAGAGCCAAGTGGCTCAGATTTTGGCGCAAGAAATTCTTCTTTGTTGTCCGAGTTTCTCTGTTCAAAGTTTTTAGTAATATTCCCGTCATGAGTGGCGCTATTCGTGATGGTTGTTGTCATAGGAATGGTAGAAGGAGGAGAAATATCCTCTTCCATTACTGATATTCCTCAAGATTCTTTTTCTTGCTTTCTCACTATAGTATTTTCGGTGGACTTCCGAGCGATAAATAGGAGACTTTTTGGGAGAAAAGTTGGGTATTTGATGTGCACAACCTAAAAATCAAGAAACATATCTAGTTTCCTATTATATTTATAAGTGATTTTTCCTATTCATTGACAGGGGAAAGAAAAAGAACGAGGGAGGACCACTCAAAAAAGTTCATCGAACATGTGATAATAATTTGGAAAATACATCAACCTACTATAGCAGAATAAAGAAGTTTTTTTTTTTGAAAGTTTTTGGTCGACAAAATTTTCTTAATGATCAGAATGAAAAGGGCAAGTCATAAGTCCCTAAAGCGTGGGTAAAATTACGTATGTAGATGTATATTTTAATTTTATTCCGTACCTTTAACCGTCAAAAAGAAGCGCGCGGTTCGTCCTTCGATTGATTTGCGGATAAAATGTATTACTGATTCTGTCTCTATGATGATGATGCTGAATGCTGATTGTATTTTTTGATCTGGGCTTTGGTTTATTATATAGCATTCACTCAATTGATAACTCGATTGACGACGTATTCCTAATTCACTTTCTAATTGCTGATACAAAAATTTGTTTTTATTTTATGGGTCCTGCTCGGGAAAACTTGAAGAAAATTCTTTTATTCCCAAGAAGGGCAGAAGTATAAAGAATGGCCAGGCCCATAAAAAAAATAAACACGCGTAAACTAAAAAAACAACTCTATCTTATTTTCATCAACATTGACATAACCAGCCTAAGCCAATCTCATGGTTTTCCTTTTTACACGAAAAGAATTTTATACGATTGTCCATCTTATTTTAATAGTAGTATATAATTATGCAATACACAATATATACATACATCGATACAATAGATAATATATATGCAATAGAATCATAAATTACCATATGTTCTTGACTTCTAAAAATTGAAAAATATTGTTTGTTGTTGATCACTTTATTGTGAATATGATTATGATATGATTATGAAAGGAGAAAAATCCAACCCTTATCTTCTCTGTCACGCCTTTTTTTGTAAAGTTGCGCACGCTCCGACCACCTTAGGATCAAATGAAGCACCGAATTGCTGGGTTAAGGAGGGAAGGACTGGAAAAAACATAATGTTGGTAATCTGCCAAGATTTTGAGGTGTAGCAAACAAAAAGGAACTTTATTTAAAAAAACAGTGCATGAATAGTGTAATAGTGTATAACAATCAAAAAAGAATAGAAATAGAATATCCTGATGGAATATGAATAAACTATAATCTATAATAAACTGATGTTCTCGAACAAGATAGAAAAAAATACAATGCTGTCTAGAACATCGATTATCGTAATTATAATTGTGATTGTTACATAAAGGAAAACCACGTTGGTAAAGATCGACGCTTCCCAGTGGCGCAATCATAATAAACACAGCATTTTTGACAATGTACAAACACACAAATCCAAAAACAAACATATTTTTACTTTGTTTTTACTGTAGTACGTATTAGTATATTTTCTTGGCAAAAATTTCAATTGGAAAATTGGCGTGATGACGTATACCAATCATTTCGAGGATATGACCAGATCGTAGAGAGGGCTCGCTTTATATAGTTAAAGAAATTTTGTTTACGCTTGGCTATGTACAGAAACTTCCATGCTCAAGTAAACTAAACTTTCGTTCACTAAATCTAGAAAACTCTTGGCTCAGTGATTTCCCAAAAGAATTATTAATCATATCGATATCTCACCCACAAACATCAAATCTGACATTTAATTTTTGCAGAAGATAAATGAATATCTTTGCCAGAAGCAGGGTTGTGTGCATTGTTATACGTATGTCCAGCCGTTTTAACTAGACATTGAACTAATAAAATTTAGAACGATAAATCTGACCAGAAATACACAAAACATTTATCATTCCAATAAGGATTTGATGTGGACTAAAAAAATTTTTGGACCAACACTGAACCATACTAAAGTAACATGTTTCAGATGAATAAGTTCAGATGAATAAAAAAATTTAGGCACGCCACTTGAAAGCGCGTTTTTTAATTTTTATCATGAAAAATTTGCAGTGATTTTTAAATAGCTGCCAAGTTGGTAGCCGAAGTTTGTCCTGACACTTAATATGTTTATACATGTATATGAAGTAGAAGGAAAAACTTGTCGAGAGAAAATTGAGATCGTAAGCAACTGAAATATTTTAGTTCAAAGTTCCAAAAACAGAAAAAAATCAACTTTTGGTTTTTTCGATTTTTTAAAATTGATATTTTACTATCATTTCATATAAATTCACGTCTTTGATATTATTTTTTCGAGTAGCTTTATGGTTCAGGCCACTCAGCGGTGAGATTGCGTGCAGCACCAAATTTGGAGCGTTCGAATTCGAATCCGTTGAGCTAAAGACACTTGGACTATAAAATTACTTGATTCCAATTGATCTACAGTGGTTTATTGCAATAACCAATCAAATTTGATTTGACGATCACAGGTCACGTTATTTGTCCCACCGACCATCGATCATATGAAAATAGTGAGTTATTACGAAATGGCGGCCTCCTTTTTTTTTGTATGATCTTTGTATGAAAATTCTTTGCCTTAAATTTTATTGGCATCTTTAAGTGTCTTGCACTGTAATAAAATTGTAAGCTAGAAAGCTCAAAATTTACATATAATTCAAAGTTTTAAAACAATTTTTTGAACTTTGGTTAATTATAATATCTCAAAAATACTAGTGTCACCCATACAGTATAAAGAAATTTGTATCAAGACTATCATTTCAAGAATTATCAAATAACAATTCGCATAAATTTACTTATTTTTATATTATTGAAATACCAATTTTTCTAGGAGTAGCTTTATAGTTCAGGCCACTCGGCGGTGCGGTCTTTCCGGGCAATGACATAACTCGCCCGGGTTCGAACCCCCGCTGAACCAAAGATACCTGGACTATAAAATACTTTTTATTACGTTGATTCCAATTGATCTAATAAAATAACAAAACGTGACTCGTGATTGACCAATCAAATTTGATTTGACGATCATATGTCACGTTGTTTGTCCCACTGATCATCGATCATGTGAAAATAGTGAATTTTTAAATGAATAGTAGCTAGACCTATTTATTATAAAATAGCAACCTTTTTGTATGAAGATTCTTTACCTTTTAAAGATGACTAATTTTATTGGCATCTTTAAGTATCTTGCACTATAATAAAATTGTAAGCTAAAAAGCTCAAAATTTATATATAATTCAAAGTTTTAAAACAAATTTGAACTTTTGGTTAATTATAATATCTCAAAAATACTAGTGTCACCCATACAGTATGAAGAAATTTGTATCAAGACCATCATTTCAAGACATCATTTCAAGAATTATCAAATAATAATTCGCATAAATTCACTTATTTTATATTATTGAAATATTAAATTTTCTAGGAGTAGCTTTATGGTTCAGGCCACTCGGCGATGGGTCTTTTCGGGCAATGACAGAACTCGCCCGGGTTCGAACCCCCGTTGAACTAAAGATACCTGGACTATAAATCTACTTTTTTATTACGTTTGATTCCAATTGATTTATTGCAATAACCAATAAAATAACAAAACGTGACTCGTGATTGACCAATCAAATTTGATTTGACGATCAAAGCTCACATTATTTGTCACACTGTCCATAACTTCCTCCGCATTTACTAATTTTCACCCGAAGTTTTGATTGGTTGAGAATATTAACGGTTAGTTTTAGTGTTAGGCTTAAGGGTTAGGGTTAGGAATGGAGAAAAATTTGTCTTCCCAACATTTTTTATTAGTGCTTCAGGTTTACCCATTCGTTTTCCGTATTTTTTCACATTACTTGTATTCAATCAAAACTAATGCAACTTCCTCGCATCACTAAAAAGATTTACGCTCACGTGATCACGAAAAATTAACGTTAAAGACTATTTTATTGTTCGGGTTAGGGTAAGGGTTAAAATGGAGGACAAGTTTACATGTAAAATTGCCTTTTTAACATTTTTTATTAGTGCTTCAAGTTAGATTGGTCAAAAATTTGCGATTGGTTTGCGCCACTCAACAGAACGTTCTTATTGGGTTATGCCACATCACGCTCACGCTCACGTGAATTTTTGTTGGTGATGATGCTGCTGACCATCGATCAAGCTAGACCTTTTTTTTTTGTATGAAGATTATTCGCCTTTTAAGGGTGACTAATTTCATTGCATCTTCAAGTGTCTTGCACTGTAATAAAATTGTAAGCTAGAAAGCTCAAAATTTACACATAGTTCAAAGTTTTAAAACAAATAAATTTTTTGAACTTTTGGTTAATTGTAATATCTCAAAAATACTAGTGTCACTCATAAAGCATGTATTAAGACTATCATTTCAAGAATTATCAAATAACAATTCACATAAATTTATGTCTTTTATATTATTGAAATATCAATTTTTCTAGGAGTAGCTTTATGGTTCAGGCCACTCGGCGATGGGTCTTTCCGGGCAATGACCAAACTCGCCCGGGTTCGAACCCCCGTTGAACTAAAGACACCTGGACTATAAAACTGCTTTTATCACGTTGATCTATCGATTTTTATCTCACTTGACGACGCAATTCCTTATGCTAATGTGGATATTTACGCTGTGTTCGAAAATTAGACGTTCTTCTCTTGAATATGCAGCTAAACTGGGAGAAATTCTCGATGAACGTGTAAAAGAAAGATTCTGTAATCGTTGGATAGGTCACTAGATCCAAAATTTACAGTGATCTCAGATAACAAAGCACTATTTTTATCTCACTAAGAACTAAATTCTTTTTCTACATTCTCAGAAGAAAATTCGACATGGAAATATATCAGGTTTATATGTGAATAATTTGGCTTGCTTTATGAAAGAAATTTGTCAGAAAGCATGTTAAACATGAGCATTAATGGGAGTTGTTTTTTTGAGACGGAACTTAAAATATATATTAGTATTTCAAACAGTACTTTTTGATTACTTAATTTCACGAATAATTAATTAAACTATTGTGTATAAATAATAGAAAGATGGCGAGTTTGAGATATGAATAGGTTTCAGAAAGTTTATCTAAGCGTCCTGGCTAGACATATAGCGAAGTCTTCGTATACAGGTCTATACTTTGAAGACCAGCAGTGGCTTGAAATACTTCGTTTTAGATTTGATTTTTTTAAAAAATCCCTTTCAATATTTACAGGATGAAGAAGAAAATTATGGCTGTTGCGTGCCGCAATCTCAAAACACAGGGCAGCAGTTTCAATATCACTATGAAATTAAATCTAAAAACTGTGATGAAATTTTAGACATTTGATACAAACTTATAGATCGTGTTTATTTCAAAATGGATGTATTTCAAAAGAAAATACAATTTATTTCTATCAAAGCATCAATTTCTGAGCGTGCAAATAGCAGGGATAATAAAGCAGAAGACTTGTATAACTACGTATCTATACGATAACTATTTTCCGGAATCATAAGACTTGTTACCAGAAATTTCCGGGGGGAGGGTGAAGATGATTGCAAAACATAACGATAAACGTGAAAAACTGATTATCTATGACATTCGCATGCGGCGTTTAACAATCAATAACGATAAGTATTATTCGTGAAAGTGGCACGAGGTAAATATATATCATCATCATCATCATGAGTTTTAGCCATTCATACTATTCCAAATTCAAATCAAATGCGTAGTATACATTTTCACTTTTCATCTTTTAAATAGCAAGTTTTACAGATATTTATTTTTTATCGTCTTATTAAATCGAAATGTCTACTTTACATTTGAATGCTAAAGGTGTGTTTTTTTTATATCCTGCTCTTTCCTTTCTCTATATGTACAAGCAAAACTCAGCCTTCGAATCATTCCAACTATTTCAGATTATTGGAATAAAGAGATGAACCAATGGAATGTAAACGACTGGGATATCTACATACTCAAGCAAGACCCGAAAATCACGAAAATGCAGTCTCATAAGTTGTTGAGTGCTGAGCTTAAACGTATGAAACTAAAATTTACGAGTGATCATCCTGTTTACCAGCGTATCGAAAAAATTCAATATATGCTAAAGGTAAAAATTGAAGTTTTTATTGGTTGTTATCTTGATTAACTAATTTGCCTAATTTTCCTCATCGCAGCGAATCCAAAAGGATAAATTCAATCTTAGAATATGGAGGGATCTAAAAGAAATGGTAAGGATTTTTTACTTGATATTACATTTTCATGCATCATCGTGTGGTTGATGAAAATCTAATAGAATGAAAAGAAAGGAAAGTTGGAAAGAAAAAGAAACCTATTTGCAACACCAAACTTCGAACGAAATCCTGCCCCTCTAACCTCGCCCGGCTTTCGTTAGTACAGTCGAACATCCGTAAAAGTGTTCTAATTTCTATATATCTAGTTGTAGTAGCTTTTGATGATTATGGATAAGTGTAATAGACAGTAATCTTGTTAATAAATAATTGAATTTTACTTGGTTGCATATCAGCGAGTGGAACTAAGAATTATCGCTATATTCGTCGTGATCTTCATAGTGAAATGTGTTTAGAGAGAGACTAGTTCTCGCGGCCTGTTGAATTATCAAAAGGAACATACAGTGTAATGTCTTGTATGGCACCAGAAATATTACGCAGCCAGCTTTTTATACAATATTGACTTTATTAGAATTATTATGGCTGCAATCATGTTAGCTTTCTTCGATTAGATATTCGTGATCAAAAATTGTCTACAGGACATCTTTTAAAGTTCAAAATGAATACAGTCAAACTCGATATACCGATACACGTTACAACGATGATTAAATAAAGTCTCGATATAACGATGACAGCCCAAAAAAAACTAATAAATATAATGAGTTTTATAATAAATTCTCAATATAACGATATTTACAGAGGTTTTTACTAATTATCGATTTATACTGCAATGATGTCTATTCTGAAATATATTCATTTTCTTATAGTATTTTTTTACTTACAACTAATAATATCAAAAAGTTAAACCAAATTTGCCTTTCAAATTGATTGAATTTAAGGCCAAAGATATTTGCTTTAATATAATCTCTAGAAACTTCTGTTATATTGGGATATTCGACTATTAACGTGATATTAAACTTTCAGAATTTAATTTCACTATCTCATTACAATCGTGCTTCGAAATTTTCAATCTTATTTATGAATTTATCTTGCGTATGTATGAAATTATGAAAAATTGTAATTTTTGACCTGAATTCTAAAGTGTTTGATTATATTGACATACTAAAATATTAATTTAAAACATTAATAAATATTCGATATTCGAGAAATTAAAGAAATACTCTTTTATAACATCTACATTTGTAGAAGTAATGTATTTCCATAACGGTTTTCAGTGGAAAATTATTATAAAAGAGAAAATATAATTAAATAAATCGAAAAATATAATCTGTATTATATTATATGAAAAAATAGCAAAATTAATTAACAATCATGACTATTAACTCGGAAGTTATGAACGATTATGAATCATTTTTTTCAAAAAAAACCTTTTTGTATTTGTATTATATAGTCAAATTCCTCTATAATTACCTTATTATAGTCACATTATATATGTAAAAATCTTGCTATAATCACTTTTTTCAAGAACATGCTATAATAAAAGCATCTTGTTATAAGCACATTCATTATAAAATTTCATTATATATAGTCATATTTATGAAAAAAATATTACTATTGGATCTAACAATGTGAACATAAAAGGGATTGATTATATAATTATATTCTTAGAAAAATTATTATTAAATCTAAAAATAATAGTTATTATCCAAAATAAATTTTATATAAAAATAATAATTTTTGCTATAAGAGCACTTAAATATATTAGCTAATATTTTAGAGAGTGGAAAAAGATATATAATTTTAGAATCAAACTCTAAATAACTTAATAATCCAATTTCACTTTTCCAAGAATGATAATTATAAAAAAGTTTGATTATATTCATAATAAGATTTGCAAATAATAATAATAATAAAATATAAAATAATTCTTTGTGTTCAAATTAAAAATCAAATTGATATTTAAAAAGAAAAACTTAATAAATCAAATTTTAAAGATCTCTTTATAATATTATTCATAAATAGCATGAAAAAAAATAAGATTAACAATCAAAACTAAATATAGTCAAACTCCTCTATAATCACACCCATTTATAGTCACATCTCTATATAGTCACCCTATTTTGCTTTTCCATTTACATATAAATATAGTAAAAAAGTCTCTCTATAGTCACATTCTCTCTATAGTCACCAAATTTTGCTTTACCAAGAGTAATGACTATAGAGAGATTTGATTATATAATAATATTGGTTTTTAGTAATAAAATTATTATGTTTTTTTGTATTAATAATCAATAAAAATATCAAAATAAAATTGAAAAATTATATGAATTTTGATATATAATATTTGAATATATAAAAAATATTGTTTTTACTAATATATAATTTGTTAAATATATATAAAATCAGATTTGAAATTATATAATAATTTTATATAATTAAATAATAATTATTTTTTTGATTTAATTGTCAATTATTTTTTATATATATCTTTATAATAAATTACTAGAAATTTCAAAAAAAATAGTAAAGTATAATAAAAATAAAAGTTTTTTCTTTATAATAAAATATTTTTTGTTTTTATATTAAAATAAAGCTAAAAATTTGTATTTTAATATATATTTTTTATAAATTTTTTAAATATTTTTTATTTTTATTAAAATAAAGATGATAAGTTATATTTTAACATATTTTTTTAGATTTTTTGTTTTAATTGCAAATTATTACAAAAATTTTTTATAATTAATTTATATTTCAATTATAAAAAATTTTGCAATTAAAATAACTTTATCAGAAAAAAATCTAAAAAATCCAAAAAAATATATATTAAAATATAATTTATAATCTTTATTTTAATATAAAAATAAAAATATTTATTAATAAAATTAAAAACTTTTATATAAAATAAAAATTTAAATTTTTACTATATTTTATTAATAAAATTGCACATATAATTTCATAATTCTATTAATTACTGTATATTATTTAATTAAAATATAATATTATAAATATAATTTAAAATTAATAAAATTATATTTTATTAATTAAATTATATAATTTGTATATTAATTATTAAATACAATTTTTTAATTTAAATTAATAAAAAATAATCAGTTATTTTTAATTGTTTAATATTTAATTTTTTTTAGAATTATAAAAAAATAACAAATATTAACTAATATCTATTTTGTTTTAGAAATTTCTTTTTTCTTCTAAGATTTGATTTATAGTTTTTCTAAAAAGTAATAATTGATTAATATTTAAATTAACAAATAATTTAGTTAGGAATTATCACTTAATAATTTGAAAACTATATTATTAAATCAGTTTTTGCCTATTAAAAAAGTTGTTTCACCAATTTATATTTAGTTGATTTCAAAAAATCAGCATAAAATATTAAAATATTTAAAAAAAGTAAAAAAATTTATATTCTTTGAAAATTTTTAATAAATAAATTATTATATTAATATTAAAAAATATATCAAATATTAATATTTCTAAAATATAAAATCTTATTTATATATATTATAAAAATAAAATTTTAAATTAAATTATTATATAAAAAAATTATAATAAAAAACTGCTAGTTATTACTTTCCAGAAAGACTATAACATATATATATAAAATTATATTAATATCTGAAATTCAGTCATTTCCTTCTTTTCTAGAATATTTGTTACTTTTCTAAACTAAAATAATTTTTATTTTATATAATATTTAACTTTAAAATTTCATTATTTTTTTATTTTTTTTGTAATATAAAAATCCAATTTTTTTTGAAATTAATTAAAATTGCATACATTTTATTTGTGATTTTGATATTTACAAATAATTTTTTGATGTACTCCATAAAAAATAACTTTTGTTCTCTACATATTAGTGTTCCTATGAACCGAACCGAACCGGACTTTGGCTTGAGTTCAAGAAAGGTTCGAAATTCGAACTGAACTCGAACTGAACCGTTATACGAGTTCGAGTCTGGTTCGAGTTCGATTAAAGATCAGCATATAGTATCATATACTGATTTGTAGCTCTAAA